GGTTTGAGCATATTGAAATATGTATGTCTAATCAGAGTCTTATCTGATTCCAAAAGTCACGTTAATGGCAGCAGTGTTTTGTCAGGAAGCACCCAGCCTCACTTACAGCTTGGTTTGTATTTTGATCATCTATAAATAATGAACTGAAAAGTTTCATTTACCTGCATTCTTCCTAAGCAGCATTGTCTATAAATGACTATAAATGATGGCTTGTCAGACTCAGTAGTTTCTTAATGATTGGAAAAGTCATTAGTTTGTAATTGCCTTCTATTTATTGTCTATTGATGAAGCACTTTAATGCAAATTATTATGAACCAACTTTTTAAATATTTGTCAAAAGCAATGACTCTGATTTTAAACAGTAAGACGAACAGAGGATTTTGACATTGTTACAAACATATCTAAATGTATAATTTCTGTGCAGTGGTCGGCTCAGTTATATTCAGAATCTTCCAGAAATGTTCCATCTTTTGCTGTGTAAATGCAACACTGAATACAAGTCAGAAAACGAGCCCTCTCTGTGCTCCAACACTGCAGTATTATAGTGTTTAATTATGTTGTCACTTGTCCACTCTCAACATGTTGATGTGTCTATGTTGGTCACTTTATAGACATCCTGACAGGACTCTAGTGACTGGGAGCACTCATCGATATCATGCCAAGATGTCGTGGGCTGATTTTACAGCACAGTGTTGCTGTAACAAAATAGAACTGTAGCAATATGTCATTTAATGTACAAATAATGGGAGGGAAAACTCAACTCATTCAAAATGATGGCACCATAGGCGATACGTTTTCACCCCCAGTGCACATAAGGCTAAACTTCTTCTGAAGTGAATGCATTGTGGAGTAAATTACATATCACAGCGTTGCTTCGAGACCATTATTACGATTTGCAAGATTAAGAAGATGCTGGGTGTATAGCCTTGCTAATTGCTCTATTAATGCTGATTCAAGGGCCTCTCACTTTGAGTGTTGGCTTTTACTACAAATTACCATAATAGGGACAAATGGTTTTCTGTAAAGGTGGGAAAAAAAGAATTACTTACAACGAGCTTTCACATGCTCCTGAAACTGCTAACACAGAATTGTCATGACAGATTGGTGATAAGTGCTTAAAGACCTGTTTAATCCGCATTCAGTTTTTCACATAGCTCACCATTGCTTAATTGTCCATTTTCCAAACCTGCCTCCTTATACCATTTGCATTTAGTTCCTGATTAACTGAAGTGTCAAAGTGGCGGAGGACAACACAACACAAAACAAATCTGAACTTAAGATCACTTATTTGCTTTTTTCAGAACTCTCGACCATATTGCATAGTCTTCATCAGCAGATGGAGTCTGCTCAGTTGGCATGGAGCTGAAAACAGGATGTAGAATACCTCTCACCGAAGATGACTTCATTCTTGACTTTGGAAAATTAAGTCAGCAAAACAATCTCAACTCAAGCTCCACTTACTTTCTTGTTCCTGAGTTTTCAACTGTATCAGCTGGAGTTTGCTCAGTGGTGCTGGAAGTGTAAATGTTCAAACCTTCCATTATTCTTTGCACTTTTTGGACTTCTAATCCACATTAGACTAAAGGTTAAGCTTTATAATAATAGTAGTAGTTTATTGTTACCATGATAATGAAGGCCCCCTAATGATGTAGCCCCTGTAACAACAACCAAGATTTTTTTATAACCTTATCCAAGTATAAATTAAAACCATAATCTTTCCATTAACCTAACCAAGTCAAAGCTTAACCAAAGTTAAGATGTTAGATCAGTCAACAGGGCTTTGTAACACTGTTGGCAAACCATGTTGTCCTTGCAGGGGCGTCATTATAAAGCTTCTGTGCTGTTCTAGATAGCATAGACAAACACATTTAGTCATTTAATTTGGAGGACTTGTTTGTGTAAGGAAATATAGATTTATATATTTACCGATTACCTACAATAAACGTCTAACCACACTTATTGCTATGTTATTTGCTGACCTATTGAATTTCTCATTTTGTCCAAAACTCAAGGATTCAGTTTACCATAGATAATTGATTTAGTTGATCGAATCATCATTATCTAATAATTTCAGCTCCTGTTACAACTTATAAACAGAGCGGCTCATTCGCAGGCGGTACCAAGAAGCCATCATTAGGTCAGATAATGTGTCAGTTAAACAGGTATGAAGGTATGGAAGACTAAAGAAAGCACCTCCAACAGAGTAAAATGCACAGTTTTGTTATTATCACACTGCACTACACAATTGCAACAATGATATTTATTAAAAAAACATCACATGGTTTTCAGCTTTAAGGTCTGACCTCCAGCATGTGTGAGTGCATTAGCCAGTTGAAATGTGCGAGTAAAGGTGAGTGTGGGTGAGAGACGAAGAGTGAGAGATAAGAGGCCGGTAGTGGCTCCTGACTGAGAAGATGGACTGTTACGGCCTTATTGATCTAAATCTCTCACAGGGAGCCCATTCCAATCAATACAGAGAGAGGTAGGCAACAGCACTGCTGCTGTTTGGACCACCACCCCTGCAATATCTGCTCTCTGTCCCTCTATCTCTGTTTCTCACTTACACCGCTTTCACACCACCCACCTAATTCCCCTTAGTCTCTTACACAAGCAAATACTTCTACTTCTGTTTGGCGCTTGTTAGCCGACCTACTAAAGGAAAACAACAATTTTCCAGATTTGGCCGCTGTATTATTGGTGTCATACAACCATGGCCAGTGTAACGCTGCCTGCCGCCGCCGCAGCACCTTCACCTGACCTCACCTTTTCCTGCTTGCCACCACTGCAGAACAGCTTGTTTGTTTCTGCTGCAGCAGAAACTAGACAAATGTTAGGGGGGGAAAAAAAACAATGTTGGTGAGGTGCAAAAAATCTGTCCTACTTAGCTCCTGGTTGGAGGAGCTGGCTGAAAAGGCCAAATCAGGCCGATAATAATGAGAATAGCCTTGAAGTAGGTTCATATCACACCTCACACACTCTCAGGAGACCTTGTGGCTGTATGTGTCGACGCGAGGGAAGAAAATAAAAAAGGATGCGAGCGTGTGTTTTTCTGTTATATGTAAGTATGATTCTTTATGTGGGAGAGAAAAAGGAGACATGCTGGTGCAAGTGTGAAAGTGTGTGTGTGTGTGAAGGTGAGAGAGGGACAGAGAGTGAATGAGAGTGTCCAGGGGATGCAACAGCACTGTCATCTCCTGTTAAGAACTCTTTGTTTGGGTAAAGACACTGGTGAATTGAGGACAGCCGCCACCTTGTGTGTGTGTTAGAGGGTGTTTGCCGCTGTTATGTCTCACCTTGTGTCTCAGGTGGAATGTGGGAATGAGATAGTGTCTCTCGGGGGAGCTGCAGACAAGCAGATGGAAAATAAATCAATAAGGAAGTAGCAAAGCAAGAAAATGAGGGGGGACATTCCCTCTCGTCTTTGTGGTCATACTAAACCTCGTATTAGTATTGTATTGTACGGCCATTTTGAGGACAGTCAGTCGCTCCATGACAGGTTACTCAACACAGGCAGCATGTGGTGGCAGGAGGTAACTTTTAAAATCTGCATGGATTAAAGGATGACCTTTATTGAAAGATCCTGTCATGTATATAAAAATAGTCTGTTTAGAAGAATGTGTGTCTGATATGTAAGTATAGTATTTCCAGATTGAAAATCCTTAAAAAGGCATCAACTCCTTCTCCCTTTATTTTTTTTTTTTAAATAATTTTTTTGGCCTTTTATTGCCTTTATTGATAGGGACAGCCGAAGATAGATAGGAAAGGGGGGTAGAGAGAGAGAGGGGATGACATGCTCAGATTCGAACCCTGGGTCGTTGCAGCACCTCAGTATATGGGTCGCCAGCTCTACTGGGCTGGGCTAACTGGGCGACCTCCTTCTCCCTTTATAAAAAAAAAATTCCAGAACGTATAAATATGCTAAAGTTTTCCTGCTGGACACAAGATGTCTCCTACTTCACTGTAAAGTCCATTCTCAATGTATGTTCACTGGAGGGTTAAAGCTTTTACATCACATTTGCATAAATTGCAAATCGAATCTGGTTTGACTTCCAAACTATTTATTATGTCACAAATTATGCTTATAGGCTCCGCCCCTTAAACAAAATAAAACTCACAAAAAAGAAAAGTTTTTAAATTTTGGTTGTCGTTTGCCATTTTTTGTGCTCACCCCGACTCACATTATCAATCAGTGTATACCTATTTCCGATCAACTGCTCCAGTGGCACACAATATGTGTTGCTTGTGCTTTAGTTACCAGTGCATGGCCTGAAAAAGCTAATAAAAGGGGTGTGAGTTCAGTAGCAAGTTATTTCCACAGAACAAACTCAGGCCCTAGACACATTTCAAATTGCTTTTTTATCACTTGCACATAGGCAGAAAATTTCAGCAGGCGTTTGATTTGACTTTGTGAAATCATTTGTAGCTGACCAGGAGGTCTTTTAAACACAGAACACATTATTTCTAGAACAGCTACTGTAGATCCTTACAATGGGCAAAAGGTGAATAATTCTTAATAATTCTTAAGTATTTGCTATTGTGTAAATTTTGTGATCAACCACAACTTGCATTGTCTGTCACTTGAGGATTTGCGGGTTTATTTGGTTTCACTGTAACTGTTGTGCAACTAGTTACCAAATTTAGATTACTGGACTCTCTTCAACACTTTGGACTTGCTTTGCGGTATCAAAAGAGAAACAAGACCCAGACTGTGTGCAGAATGAGCACAGTGTGAAATACCAGTCCATCTCAGCAGAGACCTTTGATGTCTGGAGTTCTTTAATGAAAAATCTCACTCACATCAGAGAACCCTATTAAATTCCACTCATACAGGGAGGCAGGAAAACGGCGAAAGAGTGAGATTGAGAAAGCCAGAGCAAAGGAGCGCTGACCTTTGTGTGGGAGTGTGTGTGTGTGTGTGTGTGAGATGGAGTAAAAGAGGAAATGACACATCAGCGGCATCAAGCGCACCATGAAGAACAAGCAAAGTGCATAAAAATAACCACAATTCAAAAGCACTTTATTGAGCATTTTCATAAAATATATTGTGTATTTACTCACATATCAGCTTATTTGTGTGTTTACTCAAATATGGAGAGCACAGCGAGACTGAATAAAAACTGAAATTATGATTCATTTTGCAGAGAAATCTGTACATTTGACCGAAACTGTAGGCATTGAAATAGCATGAACAAACGATTCAATGTGAAACCTTAGCAAGCTTTGACTTTCCAAGTGGAAGCCATGGGTGGAAGCTAGTTTTTTCAAGCTTGATAGCTTCTAGTAACTGTGATATCTTGATGGCTGATATTTCCTTAGACCAAAATGAAGGTAATTCAAATGTCAGTTTGACTTTGTTTGCACTGTCAGTCATAAATTGCTAAATCTTTTAGCTTTTCAAATGTGTTTGGTCACCTGAAAGCAATTCTTACTTCCAGTTTCTGTGTCTGCCTGTACATTTCTGTGTGTCTTGGTGTGTGTGTGTGTGTCTTTGCTCATCCATAGGTGCTTGTGTTAGCAGTGCGTTGGCTGCAGTGAGAGAGCATCTGCAAAATGGCAGTCATGAGGCTAATTGCGATAGAGCTAACTCATCACATTGGCACCTTCACAAAAACATTAACACACACACTCCAATGATTGCACGTCCACGGGATTGTGGAAAACGCACTTAACCCTACACACACAGACAATTCACCCTAACGTATTATTATTGTCTATGCGGTTTAATACAATTTTATTGATGCAGAAGTAGCCAAAAAAAAAGCTAGTCTCAAAAATAAAAGCTGGTGTGCTTATTCTCGGATGGTTCACCTTGACCTACGGCTGAAAGGAGCTAATAAGGCTAATTTCAGAGCCCTACGATAGATTACCTCTAATTAAGTTAACAATGTATAATTCTGGCTAATTCCAGGTGATGATTGAACTGGTAGTTTTTAGCCAGACAGGAGCAGAGCTCAGAGCCACAGGTGCGGTGCAGCAGTGCTGAGACACACCAAATCACTTAGCAACCACTTTGCCTTATTACCCAGAAGCCACCGGGGTCCTGTTAGTGTATTAGCAGGGTATTCAGCTCTTTTCATTAGTGCCCCTGGCTCATATCTGCTTTCACCTGGGTCACAGATGAAATGGGTTGTTTTTTTTGCCAAAAAAGGAGGATAAGATTGCACGTTTTTTTTCTATGTAACCCTGGCATTTGAAGTCTTTTCAGTTATCACTGTACTTCACAGGCATTTCTTTTCTTCATCCTCCTCACAAGGAGATACACACACACACACACACAGCAGTATCTCCTTGGCTGCCTCTCTTTGCTACATAGAAAGAAATCCTATTACTGTTCTCCTCCATGCCAGTATAAAAACCTTTCCGCAGTCTGAGTCCAGCTCAGTCCAGTTCAGATCTGTTTCATCTGGTTGTGTGAACACCCAGGCTGCTTGAGATCCTCTGAGCTTCAGAATCTTCATTTTCCATAAAGTACAAATAAAAGCCCTCTGCCCCCCTACCTAAAACTAAAAGGTTTGAATGTGGCAGTGATAGCACCAGCAGCTGTAGCAAATCATATTTTAGGTTAGTTAAAGCTGGCATGAGGCAATTTTACACATAACAGCTCTAAATTGCAACAAGGAGACAGCCGAATTTCACAGTCTTCAGTAACAAAAAAAATCATGCGATATTACTTCTCTTTAGACAGTTGGACAGTTTTTCCCCTCTTAATGGCTGGTGTTAGAAGCCTTTTCAGCTTCTTTTTACCACACCTTTTTACGTTTTAGTCCATCACTTCTTGTGCATAAAGAGGACTTCCTGCCAGTTTCATTTAAGCAAAACACTAAAAAGGCATGAAACGCCAGCGTTTGGGGATTTACACTGATGTGATGTACACTGGTGTGTTTTCCAGGAAAATCTTGCCAAGTGCAACTTGGGTTTTTGTTTTCCAGCAGCTAAATGTCCCATCCAGCTCTCAGTCCACTGACTAGTGCGTGCTTGGCTCCAGGGCCCACAGAGGACAAGGGTCTTCAAACACACACTGCTGTTGCTCCTCGATACCACGGGCAAACAGCCGGATCAACTGGCACTGGACACTGCAGAGAGGAAGAGTGTACACACACAGACACACACACACACAACGCATCATTTAGCCTGAATAACAAACCATCAACTTAATGACTGTGCTCGTTTCAATGAGACTTTACTGTCCGTGTGGCAGATGTAAAAGCAATGGAACGGCATCCCTGTGTGCAGACTTGACACGCAAACTTGAAAGTGAGACAATCTTTGTGGCGTGTAAAGTATAAAGACCTTTAAAGAGACACGTATAACACATGTTATAATACAGATGGGGCTGGCGTACTTTAATGACACGCATAACAGAGCCTGATGAATACAAGGTAAAAGTATACGGACAGAAAAAGAAGCAGTGAACAGGCAAGGTGGCTATTATGGTACACTACTTTTCTACCACCTCAATTACTGTCTAGGCCTTTGTATGATAAATGACACCTGTATTTTCACTGGAACACTTGCTTCATGGCTTCATCAGTAGTAAATATAATGAAAGAGCACACTTACAATTTGCAACCCAGTATGAAGGCTTATTTCCAGACTCTTGCATAAAAAAAACCCCCAATACAATACATATAATAACTCTAAAATCAAGGAAGCACTAGCGTTATGATTACATGAGAGCTAGCTTGTTTGAATTGTTTGGTTCATCATGGCACCACGAATTTCACTCTTTCCAACTGTGTGTTTCTCACTTCTAAAGCAAAACTCTTTCTTTCCTACTTTTCCTTCAGTTTCGCCTGGGCTATTACCATTAATTATCCGAGCGGGAGTCTGGCTGGCTCACTCCAAGAACGATTAGCGGAGAGGAAGAGGCAATAAAAGGACGGACTTCTGCTTTAATTAAAGGGGAGTAGCCTTTTAACATGGGGAGGGCCGTTAAATTAGCAACATTACAGCGCCATGCATCATTGGCAAAGTACAATGGAGCATGAAATAAATGATGCGTCAAGCAATGCCACACCGGCTGTATAGAGATCTGATAGTGGGTTTACTGAAGTGTGGACAGGGCCAGAATAATGAAGGGGTGCTAATTCCATCGAGTTGCCAAGATCGTCCAGCAGGGAACAGTGAAAGAGACTCCTGACCAGACTGTTGGACACCAGCAGCGCTAATGGCACTGCCGCTCTCACTTCTGTCAGGCCAAATCGGGGAACTACTTTATTATGAGCCACTAGTAAGCATCAGGGTGACCTCCGCGACACATACTGACCCCTACATCAAACAGACTTTAAACTTTTAAATGTTGTTGCATCTTCCTTTGCCTGGTTCCAAATACTTTTGTATCAGTCTAGCATGAATAAGAGAATACACCCATGCTAGCAGCTCTGTGAGGCTAATAACTACAAAAATACTAAACAGGAATAACAACGAATTAGCTAGTAAATGTTCCACATACTTTGAGTACTATGAGAAAAATAAAACAATGCTATTAGCTCTGTGAGACTGTATTTGAGCTAAATGCTAACATGTTGACAATGCTACTAAGGTGATGTTTAGCAGGCATACTGTTTACCATGTTCACCATATCAGTTTAGCGTGTTAGCATGCCGTCATTTCTTAATTAGTCCAAAACATTTAGCTACTGACCGACCAACCAACACTGCCATTTAGACTACAGCTGATGTGGCTTAAAATGTTGAATACATTGAATACAGAGCTGTAGAGCATACAGTACATGATTCATTTCCACTTAGGCTTGATACTCAGGAACATTTTGAAGCAATTTAAAGTGGAGATTATATCTGTAATAAGCAGAAAAAGAACAGCCTTTACTGTGAATGCCAGTACTATGGTGATGCAATAGGTATGAGCTCTGCAAGTATTTCAATGCTTTTTCCATTAAACAGCTTCTACAATATTATATGGGCCGATTCAAAACCATTTGCCCGTCCTCATCTATGCCGAGAGCGATCCTGTCTGTCTTCATCGCCTCGGAAAGTTGCATTTCCCTCACAGGCTTCATAAAATGCAAAATAAGCTGGCACAGTGGAAAAGTGATTGAACCATGCCTGTCTTTAGCAGTCACAATGATTGTTTCAGTTTTACAGCAATAAAAATAATTAAAAAAAAAATAAAATAAAAAAAAAATAAAAAATATATATATATATGGGCAAAACATTCTTTACTGGTTAATAACACAGCATTTTATTGTTTTTTTGCCAGTACCGAGTCTAATGCACCGCAGGTTGACTTTCTTTATTTCTAGCAAAACAACTGAGAAGCCTGGATAAGTTGCTTGGAATAACTACTACAGTAAGTTTGAAGTTTTATTGACAGGTGATTCGTGATTAGTTACCTGACTTGGATGGCAGCGTGAGACAGGATCTCACCGTCGCAGTTCCAGCTGCTGTGGGCGGTGCTGTAGTTGCAGGTTGTTTGGGCAGAGCATATGGGACTGAAGCCTGTCTTCTTTGGACTCTCGTTCAGGTCTTCTAGAGAAACCAGCTCATGGTGCCGCGGCTGGAAACGAAACTTGCTTACCCGGTGGACCTCCACAAATGAGTGGTCGAACTGGGGAGGGAAGCAGAGATGGATAAGAAACAGATGAGGAGGAGAGATGGAGGGATGGATGGATGGATGGATGAAGGAACAGATGTGCCCACAGATGGTGAAGAGGTCAAGATCGCCACTCTTCAGAGTCACTTGAAAAGTTCAATTTCAAAATGAGCAGTACAACAGGATGAGAGAGAACACAAGAGTCCACCTTTATTTTGTGTCTTGCAAAATTCAATTTTGTGTGAAATTGTATTTTCAAGAAAATGTTCTCTAAAGGAAAATGTCATTTGACTCTAAACATATTCTTATGATTACCCTATTGCCCACATTTCCACAAGGATGCTTTAATCAAAGGGTCACAATTAATTAACAAACATCATGCAGAACATAATTAGATTAATAATAAGTTAATAATGATAAGATTCAAGTTGTCTTTTGAGAAAATAGTTTTTTAGTGCCCCAGCAATAAGCTCCAGTATTTGACCTTCATCCATCTGGTGTTGATTTATTTCAATCTAACAAATAATATATTAAAGGAACTAATCATTTCAAAAGGGTGCGACTGAAAAGTTTGCACAACTGTGTACAACTCCATTTCCATGTCAATTTTTGAACCTTGACATTTGGACCTTGAACTTTTGGAGCAAAGTAAATGAGTTGACAGCCATGCTAACAGCTCTGTGAGGCTGTACTTTGAGCTAAATGCTAACCGTGGCATGCTAAAATGCTCACAATGACAATGCTAACACGCTGATGCTTAGCAAGTACATTGTGTTTGATGCTAACTAGCAAGTGCTAGCAGACCAACACACTAAACTAAAATGGTGAACATTGTAAACAACAAACAGCTCAATGGGAATGTCATTAGTTTTGTAGGTGCTTGGTCATAAGTGACTTTATGATGGCGTGAGATGAAAAGTTATTACAGTTCATCCTGAGGGGGACCAATACGCTGCTAGCGTGGCAAAAAAACCAACAACCCTGAAATTAGTCTTTGGTGGATAAATCGATGTAGTTTCAGTCAAGGGTTCATTAAAAACTCAGGTTTCCTTTTAGAAACAACAAACCTTTTGAACAACAAATGTCTCAAATTTAACATAAACTACTTATTTTTATACACAAAATAGCACAGAAAATCGATGAGGTTTCAGTCTCTGAAATATGATGATTATATTGGGTAGTGAAAAGATTCTTGGCATGCAGTTCTTTTTTAGTCAGCAGGCTGCAGGTGGGTGAGGTAAAAAGTTAATTTCTCCTCTATTGTCTTTTTATGGACTCCTGCTGGTTTGATAATGAAAAGCTAAACTACATGTACAGTATGTACTTCCATTTATGAAAAAAGAAAATGGCAAACAGGAGTTCAAATGCAAAATAAAGGGAGGAAGAGAAGATAAAATGAAGGTGCATAAAAACTATGTAAACGGCAGAGGAGTGAAGAGGAGAAGAAAGAGAGAGATGAAAAGAAATTATATTGTCAAAATCCCCTTTCATCTCACTCAGTGCTGCAGAAAGGTTCAGCTCTGTCCAGCACACCACTTTCTTCGTCTTCACGGGGTGCCACTTTCTTTCTATTCTCTTCTCGTTTCTTCTCCTTTTTTCTTTCCCCCTCACTCTCCCTTCCTTTTCTCCCTTTTTCACCCTCTCTCATCCCAAAAGCGGAGTGACAGCCATTTATTTCACATCAGACCCACTTTATGACTGCAGCCGCTTTGCATTCATGCTGGACGGTCTGCCTAAAAGGCTTTCTGACAAGGCCATGAATACGCTTAGCGGCTTCTCACTCCTTGTTTCTCTCCGCTTGGCTGGACAGTGATGCTGATATTAAGTGAACTCTGATGCAAAGTCCCACTCACCCTACTCATACGACTACTTGTCTACCTTTCTGTGTTGCAAGTAAAGCAGCAAAGATGGCCTCAAGCTAAAGTTGCACCACATCTTGCCTTCTCACTGCCAACACAAGACTCTGGGCACTGAGCTCTGTCATCATTAGACAACGGTTAATGGGGTATCATTTGTTTTTTGCCAGTAGAGAGGTGTGACACATGACAAAATCCAAAACCCACCAATGGCGGCACAATTTAAACTTTGCCCCCATTCGATTTCTATGGGACATGAGCAAATCATGTTGCACAAAAAAAACTTACCATAGAATTATGTTTTACTTTAGAAATGAGGGTGAGAAGATTGTTGTTGTACTATCAGGGATCCCTCCTTTCTATGCCTCTGACCTCCAGCATTAAAGATGCAAAGAAAAACAAAGTGCCACTTTACAACTGGACCTTTGCAGCCGTGCTAGCAGCTGCGCTACTCGGACACAGCGTTGAATTGAGCTAAATGCTAACTTTGGCATGCTAACATGTGCACAATAACAATGTTAATATGCTGATGTTTAGTAGGTATGTAATAATGTTCACCAGCTTAGTTTAGCATGTTAGCATGCTAATGTTTTCCAATTAGCACTAAACATAGCACAGCTGAGGCTGGTGAGAATATTATTAGCTTTGCAGGTAGGTAGGTAGCAGTGCTTTCAGAGGGAGAATCATTAAGATCATCTTGAAATCCTGTCATGGCAATCCATCCAATTAGTTGCTGAGAAATAACACTGAACATCGTCATCCGTAAAATTCTAATTTTGTCTTCCAGTAGATGGACACTGTAACATCTTACTGGTTCTCTGCATTGGATTGTAGTATATTGGGGAAATTCTCTGTCATAAAATCATTTTGTAAGCTTCTCTGCATTAGCATCACCAGGGAATGTTGGTAATTAGATTTTTTCCCCACACACATCAGTAATTTCATTCAGTCATCTGGATGTAAAATACTTTATTGAGACCGTGGCAAGGACACGCTTCATGTCACACAGAGCAGCAAAATCTTTCCGCAAGTTGTTAAATTTCACAGTAATAGCAGCAGCTTCTGCACTGCTGAAGCCTATAAATTTTAAAGCTGCAAATACATAATATCCTAATCTAATCAAATCTTGTTACGAGAGTAATATTGGTCCTTGTAATCCAAATACTGGGTTCACAAGTCAAAATGTTGATCTTAGAGTTAGACCTTGCCTCAGGATGTCAGTGTTAGCTCAAAACACAGTTTGCAATTTAACACTTTTACCAAGACAGCTACCGTAGATTTAATTACTTACAAGATCCTTCTAAATGGGATAAACTTCCTGAGGTCCTTCCTGAGGTAATAATTACTAATCACCATTCTTCCCCTGGTAATACTTGTGCTATCCTGAGAGGGCATTAGTCTGGTATCAGCCTATTCTCCCATACAGCATATCCCTGATGCAGCGATTATCAGTGCCTCTCCGGACCAGGGTGGAGGTTATTTATGATACGTGGGAAGGCACAAGGGCTAAGGCATTTGAACTAAAGTGAACTACAGTTGGGAAATTGAGCTGAGTCAGCAAATGGAGGTGCTAGCACAGCAAGTGGGGGGGAAACTCTGCCTTCTGCTTGCTCGTTCACAGACTTCCACGCTCTCTATTTATCCGAGCACAAATCGAGCAACTCCTGATGTTTAAAACTGAATTCTGCTGCGAAGTGATTGACGGGTGGCTTTATGGGAAGGATGAAATTGTCTTAAAGGTTGCGCTGTATTTTAGAGATTCCTTCACGGTTTAAACAGGATGTTTTTCTCATCCCTGTTGGGTCCAAGTTACATCAATTTCCCCAGCTCATTTCATGAAATATTCTGCACACACACACACACTCACACTGATTAAGCACACTTACTGTTAAGTATTAGTTAAAAAAACTAACATAAATTGGGTAGCACTCCCACTGGGTAATACCTTTTTCGAAAGTGCCTTGAAGTTGAATACATACTTGACTCCTACCTGGTCCTCTTTGTTGGTGTGTCGAAGAAGGTGTCTGAGGAAGTCCAGACGGGAACACTTTCTGACGAGGATGAGGTCTGTGGTGCCGTCAGCGAGGTGAGCGGAGGGCGACAGGCCCTTTGGACTGCGGGGACACGCGCAGCTCATACTGGCCGCATTAATTGCAATAAACCTTCCGCGGATCACACTCCAACCACTGCTGCCATCTGAAATAGAGAAGTCAAGAGCTGGAGTATGACCACACATACACTTTACTTAGTTCTACTTTTTGTGCTGAGGGAACAAAACACATTCTAAATCGTTCTTTGGTTACGAATGCTCCAGTCACTTAACACGCTGGCAGCTACAGAGGCATCCTCACATACAACAAATGCATTATTTAAATTTTATCCTGTACAATGACATTTTATTTATTCATTTATTATACCTACCTACTATATTAATTGTTAATATAATGCCAGGCAAAATAAAGAACATTAAGTAAAGTTAATTTACCTGGAATGGGCTTAATAATGAGCTTACACGCTCAAAGTAATGTTTTATTTAGCAATATCGATGTTGCAACTCTCTAATCAATGGCTTTAAGATGTCAGCATCTGTCTTGTGTTTGATGTAGTTCATACCTGGTTGACAAACTTTAATTGCATTGTTCTCCACTGCACAACTGAACCACACTAAAGAAGTAAAGTGTTAATACTTTAAAAATTTAGAGGCACCAAGCTGGCAGTTTTCTCCAAATTATTCAACTCTCTTTTATTGTTGTAAATGTAATAGAATCAAATTTGGCATGTTCATTCAGGGTAAATGTTGAGTTTGCAACTAAACTCAAGTGCTGCAGAACCTCGCTTACAACCTCCCAGCACATAATCACCTGCAATTGTTTAAAAAAAAAAGTCAGGTGACTGGTTGGGTTTTTTACATATGCCTTTTGGACTGTTTCTGGTTTACTTGACTCTCCTCATTACACTGCAATGTTAAATTCCCTCCATCTGACATTGACACTGTAGTGAATGTTATGAACTTTAATTTAATTGCAATGCTGTATTCAACAGCAGTTCTGCAGCATTTCCAAACGTGCCACATTTGATTTTGCTTGTATTATTCTGCCAGCTTTAAGCTAGGTACTTATACCTATCCCTTATCTAACTTGTACAAGCTACACATTCTGATTCCCTTCAGCTATTTCCAGAAGTGCTGATGTTAAATTGAAACAAGTAATCTGTGCACCATCAGGAATTTGGTTTTGGAAATGATATTGTGTATTTTGCAAGTGCTTTATGAGGACTTAAGGTTAAGTTCCCAGCTTGTTACACGGCAGCAGTGATGCTGATGAGGGTCCATTAAGATCCAGATGTCTTGGCAGGAATTCTCAGAGCAGCTTTACCCTGATGATTGAGCCAAGATAGCAACTCTGATGCTGAAAGTAATATGCGTTACCCTTGTAGGAGAGCTGGATGTCTTATGTCTTCTAAAATGCAATTGAGTTCGGCCATGGAAGTGTTCACAGTATCTTAAGAGGAAGTCATATAGATAGAAGACTGATTGGATTAACCTCAAGTTTGCCTGTTATGATTAAATGCACACTTGGCCTCCAAATCTCAAATGACAGACGTGATGGTTGCACTTCACAAATCACTGCTCTGTTCCTCGAAGATTAGCGACTGTTTACAAGTGATGGCGTATCAAAGACGCTAGTATCACCCACGGGACTGCCAGCGCCTGTCACCAGGGTGATAGTCACTGGAGTAAGCTGCAAAAAGTGATCACAGACGTCCAAACCTCAGAGGGAAACTCATGTGATCTCGAAAAGCAAAACGATTCATTACCTTTCCCCCTCATTTCACAAAACAAACTTACAGAGGGTGATAACGCTAACCAATGATAACAAGCCCACTGAGGCTACATAAAAACAACAATATCCTAATTGGGAAAGCAGTGATTAAAGCTAAATTTAAAAAAAAAAAATCAAAAAACAACAACAAATCCAACTGTGGACTGTAGGCTCTGCATTAGGAGAATGTTTCCAAATGAGTATTTGCTTTCGGAGGAGAGGCTGGCTCATTTGCAGAGAGAGACTGTGTCGTGCCTCATTGATTTAGCAGTTGTCTGAGATTTCCCTCGCCAGGAAGGAAAAAATAAAAAAATTGCAGAAAACAAACGGCAGCACTGGCGTGAGGCAAACCCCCTGTCAGAGCTGGCAGAGCCAAATTTATTCCTGATTAGTGGGAGTCTGTCACACATCATATGCACACACAAACAGGTTATGCTTGCTTTCATATTTACACAGGACAGAAAATGCACACACACTCCATAGGAAGCCACAGTACCCGATAGCCCAGACGGAAAATCTTGAATTTAATATCATGACACTAATTAGAAAGGAAAACACACACACACAGCTCATCTGCAGCTCAGAGTACACACACAAAACACGCACCAGCGGGCACACGCAGGAGTCAGTATTTCATCTGCCTCCAGAGGTTTATGCTGCTGTGTCTGTGGGTTGAGAGGACTGTAGATGATGAAGTGCGTGTGTGTGCACACCGCGGTCTGGGGGAACAGACGAGGGAAAAGGAGGCGACGCTGCCCAACTCGAGGCTGAGTGGACAGACACCAGCCTCGTCGGGAGGTGGGGGGCAACATGTAATCCCATCAAGCAGACGCAGGGGTGGATGCTGGAGATTTGGAAAATCGATGGGCAAAAAAAGGCTCCGGCGGGGAGTTGCGCAGTGTCACTAAAAATCTGTTTATATTTTCTCGTCAATAACTCATCAAGAATCTCATCAAGAATTTTGCCATGCTGCGGGAGAAAAACAACCCCGACAGAAAATGGAGATAAAGTGTAATTTGAGAAGCAGAAGATGATGCTGTTATTTACACTCAGGTACTGCAGAATGTAAATCTCCCCTGATTTGTGTGTGACTTCAAGGGAAAAGAGAGCTGGTGTGAGATTGTCTCATATCCCTTTGTTTTTTTTTGTGTGTGTGTCTTTTCTCTCAAACTACACCCTTTAGAAATACTTCTTCTCACACATCTGAGAAGCCTAGAAATGGTTTCAAAATAGACAAACAAGAGAATAACGAGGGAAAGAAACGAGAAGTAGACTTTTTGGTGTGATTAATTTGACATTTTTTGAGTAATAACCCCAAACTCGTACCTTTATCAGACTTTTCCTTCTCCTCTGACATCTCCCACTGCTTGCTGTCCTTTGATGAGGGCTTCTGCTGACAGACGCAGCACCTGAAATATCAGCGTAACCTTGTTTCACATTCATCAAACCATCAGTATTGCTGTGACATTCAAGGTTTTAACAAGCTTAAATGATTCATTAGGTTCAGATAAAGTCCATCAGTCCATTTAAAAATGGCTTGTACTGTATTTATTTCAATATTAGGAGCTTTTTGTTAGAGATGCTCAAATAAGACTACAGCCGGAGAAGCCTTTTGTAGCAGTCATATCACTTTTTATGCTAAAATAAGTTGTCAGGAAACATGGCATTTTACAGATTAATGGTTTTTAGCTCCTTTTCAGTCCCCCCATAACAAATGCAAACAATGTCTGCGCCCAGCATCTCAAAAACCAAAGCACTTAGTCAAGCGCTTTTTGGAAAAGACTGAATGGGCTCTCGGTCTACAATAAATCAGATAGGCTTCCTGACAACGCAAACTACCCCATTTAAGCTCTGGCAGGTGCACTGCTACTATTGAACTGCATCAGATAAGTTAGCACATTGTAAAATAGTGCTGAAAAGCCGTCGGAACTGATATCTCTGATGCTTTATTTACCCGGACCGACACTGCAGCTTGTCCCTGGGGGTCCCCATGTTGTTCTCAGCAGGGAGGAAAGAGATGGTGCCTTCATAGTAGTTGTGGCTCAGAAAGGTTTTTACCCCTGGAACAAAAACACAGTGTGGGCCACAGAATGCATGCCAATGTGTTGTATTTGTTGTGTTTAATTTAACTCTAATTATATCTGACAAGACAATTAAGAGTAAAATTCTTAAAGCGACACACAACTAATTGGACCACTATTCTGTTTCTCTAGAGTCTGTCTTAGGTTTAACTAAGTAAAAGAAATGATTTAAACAAAGTTTTAAGGTAATACTATAGTGCAGATAACACACAGCTGTATTTAAAACACTTGTGTTTGGTAGCTCTGGATGCAGCCCATAAGGTGGATGCATTTGTAAATGTGTATTTGTAGCACCAGTGGGTGGAGAAATGGCATTGGTGAGTCCAACTACTGAGCTACACAAGAACTTGCACTGAATCCAGAAGCTTGAGTCTCTGTAATAGATTGATATCTTGATATTTAATCCAAGTCTGGACCTACAGCAGGACCAGCAAGCTCAGGGATAAACTCCAGGTTACCTCACATTAAAATAAGCCGGTGTGAGGTCAGTAAGCTCAGAGGTCAGTAAGCAAAAGATAAAAAAAAAAAAAACAGAAGAGGTTGTGTGGAAGTGTGGAGCCCTCATACCTGACAGGTCATATCTAGCGGGACCTAGCCATCTTTTCCTCTCGCTGTCTGTCAGTACATCCCCATAGAAACCGTAGCCAAGCAACGAGACAGAGTATCTGAGAAAGACGTCGTCGTGATGAACTGAGCACACGTCCATCGGCTGGGAGTCACCTGTTAAGATACACCCAGTGGAGTTTAAAACAACCACTCCCTGCTTTGTTACCACAACATGCATGTAAACATGAAACTACAACCAGTTGCTGTAATAATCAACGGTTGTTGTGGTTGCAGCTTCCTACACAAACACTGATACCATCTCAAAAACAGCATGCCACCCTAACACATGTGCTGCAAGTTCTTGCATGACCTTTACTCACCGACAATGATGTGTAAAGCTGAAGTGACTGGGTCATTGGTTCCTACTGTGGCAAAGCAGATACAATCAGTGGACCCTGTTGGATAAGAGACACACAGGTGGATGGTCAGCCATTGTAGTAGTACATAGGCATGTTAGAGGACACCGCCACATTCAGTTGCATTATTATATTTTACAAAATATATATGTATAGATAAATTTTTATAGCAAACCTCAGCTAGTTAAAGCCACTATGTGTAGAAATTTTAAATGTGAGAACTCAGAATGAACACAAACATCTGGATTGTGATAGTTTTCTAAAAACAACAACTTATGCCACAAGAAAAACTTGAAAGATGACATAACCGGCATGCACAAAGTTTAACACTTCCTGGAAAACAGTTTTGCAAATACCAACTGGCATACTGACATGCATGCACAAACAAGACTACGAGTCTACAGCTATACTAGCCGCTTTATAGTGTAGCATATGAGTCAGAGTATATGCTTAAGTACAGTGGAGCTTTGACCTAAATGCTAATATCAGCATGCCATCACGCCCGTGGATAACAGGATTGGAGACCAGAGGCAACCTTGGCGTAGTCCCAACACCAACTGAAAACATGTTTGACTGTCTGCCAAGAACCTGGACACAGCTCTCACTTTGGTTATAGACGGACACTCATAGCAATGGCCACAGTACCCCACACAGGAGTCTCTGGGGGACACGTTCACAAGCCTTCTCCAAGTCCATAAAACATAGACAATAGTAAGGATGGTAACTCCCATGACCCGCAGCAACGCCCGCAAAGGTAAAGAGCTGCTCCACTGTTCCACGGCCAGGACAGAATCTGATCAAAGTCTCTTTTCCAGCACCCTGGAATAAACTTTCCAGAGAAGGCTGAGAAATGTGATACCCCAATAATTGGAACACATCCTCCAGTCCCCTTCTCGACTCTGGCAGGTAAATCTGCCAAGACGTAAATCAAATGTGTAAATCTCTTATTCACAGTTAAAATCGGCCATAAAATATTTAGTCCTTGGTAGAGTTACATGTCTTTCAAAGCTACAACCAAGTAAAAAGAATTCAGTTGAATGATTTTATTGGGCGGAAGTAGGGAGACATTTCAATCATAAAAGGAACTAATCGGATAGCTCCAGGTCCTGGACTATCATCAGCTCTCTTCAGCCAACAAATGAAGGATAAGAGGCATCCCCTGCCTTGAGAGAAATGTTGAGTTTGATATTAAATCTTTCAACTTGAGAGGTAATAAGGCTCTATCTCTCATTCTGCGCCACATGGCGTAATTTCAGACCTATCTGCCCTACTTTGATCATCTTCAAGTGGTGAAATGGACCTACTGTCACTGATAAAAGACAGAGAGAGCGAGGGAGAGAGGAGAGAATAGAGTGAAATCTAACTAGTGATGTTTTGAGTTGGGTCACAGACGCGTGACAGAGGAGATCGGGCCTGTCATTCTGCGGTGGACACACAGATGAGTATGAAGATGAGCTCCCTCTCTCGCCTTCTCTGACTTGCTCCGGCACTTTCTATGAATATCACTTATCTGGCCTTTGCTTCTTCTCCTCCGAGCTTCATAATCACATCCGAACACTTTGCAATTGCTCCCGACAGTGCTGCACTACCTGCTTTTTTTTTGCTGAGCGTAAAAAACTGTGACATATGCTATTTGACTCTTCTAAAGCTACCCAGTAAAAGCCAACTGACTTTGAATGGATTCAAGTGGCGCACACAGATGTTCAATGATGTTCAGTCCTCAGATGTTTAATGTTTTATTCCCCTTAAGTTACTCAACCGCAGTAGCCTGTTGGCATATTTAGAGGAGAGAGCATAAACTGTCACAAGGCATATCCTCAGCGGGAAAGCTCCAGTTTTTATCTGCATTTTCTCCCAAAACTGTCTCGCCAGTAAGATCATCTTGGCAGTGAAATCATCTTTATCTCAGGCACAACAATGGAGTCTAGATGCTTTTTAGTACTGCCCCGAAAAGGATATTTTTGCTGTTTCAATCCTCAGCACATGAATGTATTTATAGCTGCACTTGTGACAGTATCTCATAACGACAGCAGCGAGCCCTTCTGCACTGAGGAAGTGGACCGCAGAACAACTTATACTTCTTGTTTTTTCATCTAAATAATCCATCTAAATCAATCTCATCAATCTTAACTTCCAATGAGCCAGGGTTAACTGTCATGTACAGACATTACAAACAGACTAATACCAGCTAATACTGGCTAAAACCAGTCTAACAGGAGCATGTCAAAGAACGTGTGCGTGTGACAGCTCGGTGACAAGGCCATAAATGAGTTCATGACTCTTAATCTGAACCTTGGTATAGAGGACTTTCATACCTTTCCAAGAAAATTACCATAGCTTTGACAGCAATATTGATTATTACATTAATTATATCATAAATCACCTATAGGTAGCAAAGATACATTATCTCGTAATGACGCAGAAGCACAGATCTACACAGCTCGTGGCTGCATAGCAGGCCGTGGCTTTTGTAGCAAAAGCTCAATGTCAGCTATTATTCCCATTAAGCAAAAGAGTATGTGCCATGATGTTGGAGACACTTAACATAATCACTGTTATTTCATACATTAACAGCACTTTTTTTAAAAGAAAGTTACAAACTGATTCACAGTCAAAGGAGATGAATGACATTATTCATTTATTTCATTAGAGAGAGAGAGAGAGAGAGAGACAGAGACACACAGAGAGAGAGAGAGACA